CCCCCCCGCGAGCAACCGGGGGTAGGGGGGGGGGCTTGTGCGCGGGAGAGAGTTTGCCTGGATGAACTCGCGGACCGAACTCGCTCGCTCCAGCCGCAGCTGCTCGTTCACCTGCTCACGCCAGAGGATCATCCCTGGCAGCCGGCCTGCCCGACCCCCCCTCCCCCCCCTCTACCCCCGCATGCGCGTTGGGAGTGCCACGTTGGGAGCGGCACCAGCTGAGCCCTGCCTGCACCCCCCCCTCCCCCCCCCCCCCATTTCTCCGCCCTTCCTCCCGACGCGCACCTTTTCGATCGCCTCGAGGGAGGCCTGCCGCTTCATGCCGGCCAGCGAGGCCCTCTCGGCAGGCGGGATCACCATCGCCCCGCCGTCGCAGCGCTGCCCGCACCTGAGGCATACCGGCAGTGGCGTGAGTTGTCGGATATGCGCGAGGCGCAGGAGGGACAACGAGCGGCACGCACCGCTGCCGCTCGAAGCTGTCCACCTGCAGATGCTCCCGCCGCTGCAGCTCTCCGAGTCCGAGCGGTGCGAGGCCGTCGCTCGGCAGCTTTGAGTCGTCGAGATGTACGCTGTGGTAAAGCACGTCGACGGAGCCAAAGCGGACGCCGCACACCCGTGGCATCGGCGAGCAGCCACCAGCGGCGCCGGTCCCACTGCTGCTGCCCACCTCAGCGGCGGCGGCGACGGGCGACGGCGGGTCGGAAGAGGCTGCCGCCAGGCCGCAGCACGGCTGATGGCTGTCGACCCGCACCGAGCTCATGTCGCGGGCCCCTTTTGGCAAGTGCTTGCCAGCCAACAAGCGTGGGAGCCTTCAATGAAACTAATCACAGAAAAAGTATTCAAACAGCTCTCGGCCCAGTGGGGATTTTGGCCTAGAACGCGCTGTCCGCGCGCGGCAGCGGGCCCTCGCGCCAGTCGCGCTCGCCGTCGCCCGACTCTCCGCCCGCCAAGCGGGCCGCCTCCGCTGACTCGTCCGGCTATGAAACCGATACGCCGGACGAGGTGCAGCAGGAGGCGGTCCGCAGGGTATGCGGCGCGCTCGGCATGAAGGAGCAGTTCGAGGCGGCGATGGCGGCGGGCGAGCTGCTCGAGATGCTCGAGAGCTTGCCGCGAGGGGCGGTCGAGGCCTCCGTTCGGCTGATGCGCGGTTACAACCGCACGGGCGAGTGGCCAGAGCCCATCCTCACCAGCCCTGCCCCGCAGCGCGGCCGCTCGCCAAGCCCCGTCGATGAGTGGTCAGATGGTTAGTCAGGGGACAGGGGAATATCAGGTTTTTCGAGACCAGACGCCGAGCAAAAAAGAAACCCCGGAGCTGGAACAAAGTACCTAACCGGGCAATCATACCGGACAATCAGGTTGAGCAGCTGTGAATAGAGTTCCTTCCCACTTTTTTTAACGTGCTTGATACGTCAACCCCTTGCTTGCAAGCCTAGATGCTAGAGACACCTCACCCTTTTAAGCCTAGGGGGGTACCCTAAGCCGCGCGGCCCCGCATAGGCCCACGCATCGTTGCTGTGTCGTGCTCGTGGATCGATCCGACGGGCTATCTGATCCCTCCCGATGAACTGCAATGAATGGGCAAAAACGGGGTGATTTCGGTCGTCCGTCATAGGTAGGTAGGTAAGGGGGCGACCGCGAGGTGGCACGAAGGTTGAAGCGAGAAGCGGAGAGAGACTGCGAAGAGAGATAGGAAGAGGCGGACGCCCAAGGGTGGGCGACGGCTAGCGAACCACACCCCTCTCCTTAAAGTCCCTGTGTGGTGGCGGCGTGCCGTCCTCCCATCTGTGCAGATTTTTTTTTTCTGGTGCCCGGCCGCCGGGACACGCAACACGTGCTTGCGCAGCCTCGATACTGGAGACGTCGGCCACCGAGTTCATTTTATACAACGACTGGGACACCAACGCGGTATGGGTGGACGCTAGACGGGCGATCACGGTTTCACTGAAAAAGAAAAAACACCCGCTGTATGCCGCGCGGGCACGGCATAACACGCGGGCTCGCGCAGCTCTCGATACTGGAGACACAGGCCCTCTCCCCCTGTCTAATCGCTCCCCGTCCGGAGCGGCTGCGCTCAAGTCTCTAGAGAAGCTCAGGGTCGGGTCGGCGTGATGCGCAGCAGCACCGCCGGCGGCCATGCGCCACCATCGCGTTGCAACTGTCATGCTGCTGCGATGGGTCTGGCCACCGCCGCGCTGCTCGCCCTCCTCCTCTTCGAGACGTCACGGGTCTCTGCCAGCCCAGAGCGGGTGCTCCGGCAGGCGCGTCACACTCGCCGTCGGATTGGCGGCAGCGAGCTGCGCCCCTTTGAGACGCCGACTGATGATTCTCGCCTCTCGGCGGCAGACATCACTCTCCTCATCAACAGCGGAGCCCTCCCGTCGCTCTCTCCGCCTCCGCCTCCGTCGTCGCTCTCTCCTCCCAGCTCGCGGCCGCCGCCAACGGCGACCGCCCTGAGCGCTAGCCAGGCCGTCGTAGTAGCACACGGCAACGCTGATGCCCAATCTCGGGTGATCTCGGCTGATGACTGACTGACCAGGCTGCCCTCGTCAAGTACATGGTAACGCTCGGCTTCGCCACCGCCGAGGCGCAGGCGGCGGTCGAGGCGACGCAGCCGCAGAGCGAGAGGGAGGTGCACGCGAGAAGGCGCAGCGATGGGGCCTCCGGCGGACGCGTCCACGACACGTCCGGGACACGTGTGCCGTAGGTTCACGAGAAGGCGCAGCCGTGGAGCCTCAGGCGGCGCGTCGAGGCCAACCGCGCCGAGTTCGGGTCGGAGCGCGAGGTCCATATCTCCCCACATCTCCCCACATCTCCCCATATCTCCCCATATCTCCCCACATCTCCCGATTTCGCGTCGGAGCGCGAGGTGTCCTTGACAGATGGAGAGGCGAAACACGGGTCTGGCCGCACATCAGGTGGTCTCATTCGACCACATGGACATGGACGGGTACGCGCTCCGCTGGGGCTCCGACCACATCGCCTCGTCGCTGGCGGACTGCGGCAGGCGGAGACATGGGGAGATATGGGAGATATGGACCTCGTCACTGGCGACTGCGGCAGGCGGAGATATGGGGAGATATGGGGAGATAAGGGGAGATATGGACCTCGTCGCTGGCGGACTGCGGCAGTCGGGCCTCGCTGCTCACCTTTTACTGAGTGTGGATAAGACAGACACCGCGGCAGTCGGCGCCTCAGTACTGCTGATATCGCGGCAGGCGCTGCCTCGAGCTGACGCCGGAGCAGCCGTACTACATGCCGTGCAACGTCTTTGTGTTTTGCCCGCTCGAGATGTGCTTCGCGCCGGCGCAGCTCCCGAAGGGGTCGCGCAAGGGTTGGTGCTGGCTCAAGAACCAGCCCGACCCGACCGCGCCGCAGGTCAACATGAACGGCACGGACCGGAGGACGCAGACGGGCTTCGTGGAGTGGCAGGCGGGGGTCGTGGTCAAAAAGGGGAGTCGCGTGCGGACGGACATCAAGTCGGCCCGCGCGTCATGGTGACTCTCTGTGTGTTGCGGTGCCGCGTGTGGCCTAAATAACAAATAATAAATAAAATCTTACACGTCTTCCTGTGTGCCGGCACAGGCTCCGTGCAAGCCGTCCAACGTGATAGGAACGAGTGTATCGCTTCGACGGATCGACCGTGCTTGTTATCATGACCGATATGACGTACACACAGTGACCGACACAAGAGCAACAAACAAAACGCTCTCAACCTGGCAACCCTGTCTGCACGTCTCGCGCGCGCGTGAACAGGGCTCCAGGCCCCAAATTACGTGTGAGTGTTAGAGTTGTTTGGTATTGCTAAAAATCTCTCTCTCTCTCTCTCACAAGAGACAGACGACAGACGACGACACACAGAAGAGAGAAAGACTCCTTATCAGCTGGTCGGCCGCCATGTGGGCCTCCGGGCCTGCTGCGGCGGCGCGGCCGGTTGAGGCCGGGCTCGGCCCGGCCCGCGACGGCTGGCCGCCGACGAGCGCGCTCGCGCTGCTCGTCAAGATGGCGGCGGTGGCGATTGCGGCGACAAAAGTTCAGGCGTACAGCGCTCAGGCGCCTGTCGTCTTTCGTCTTTTGTCGCATTTCGCACACGCGCACGCCGCGCGACCCGCGTCGCTCCGCGAGGGCATGAGCCTTCCGCGATTCGAACCCGCAGCCAAAAGCTGCTCGCTCGAACCGCGGCCGACTCTGCCACCGCGGCCGCAGCTGCTGAGCTCTCCAGAAAACTGGTGCCTCATATGCTGCCTCCCTGCGGATGCTGCCGGCGAGCCTGGCGGTCCGCTGTACTACAAGGAAGTGCTGACTCGATTTCTACTCGAATTCTTCTACCCCCACGACTCGGAACGCGAATGTGACAGGACCATCGGGTCCTTCAGCCTCCAAAGCGGGATCACCCGAGAGCAGCTGAGCCTGCCTCTGGCCTCGCCTCCCTCTCCTTCAGGCATTCGTGGCATCCTATGGGTCGTCCAGAGTATCGACCTCTGGCTTGTCAGCCGGTCACTTGATGACGACCATGAAGTACAGCGATCGCCACCTCGCTGGCCTCTCCGCAAGGCCCCCCCGACCGCGTCGAACTCATCGGCGCGGGCTCTCTCGGCTACGGGACCGGCCCCAGCTTCGGCTGAGGGCTAACAAGCTGCCGAGCCCAAATCACTGTGAGAGTCGTGATTTCTTGTTGGTTAATAAAAATCTCTCTCTCTCTCGACACACTCGGAGGGGGGCAAAAAGATAAGAATCTAATTTTTTGGAGACATGATCAAAGGGAGGTGTGAAAGGGAGGTGTGTGAGTGAGTATCTTGATACGAGGCGCAAAAGCTGGCAACGCGGCGGCGTCCGTCATTCACACGCCCTTACAGTGAAGCGCCGTTCTCGTCCGCGTCTTTCCACGGAACGGCCCGCCCAGCACCCGGGTGCAGGGCGCGACAAAATTGACCCTCTTTGGCAAGAGAGAAGGGCGCCCCAGACTGCGACGGCGCCGACAAGCGCCTGACAACATGCTGCGCCGCCATGCGCTCGAGGACCAGAACACGACGTCGCTGCATGCGCGCGCACGCGAGTGCCGCGTAAACAGCGCATGATGCAGCGTCGGCCCGGCGTCATGGAGCACGTGCGGGCTCTCGAGGCCGACGTGTCGACCCGCACGAGCGACCTGCGCCCGGCCGCGCCTCGCGGCTTCGCGCGGCGGAGCGCGCGCGCGGCAGCGCCGGCGCCGGCGCGGCCGTCGCTCGCAGTGCTCGTGCGCGGACAGACCTTCCGCGGCGAGGCGCGCGAGAGCTTCCTCATCGACCGGTGGAGCCAGGCGAGCCGCGAGCGCGCGCAGCGCGAGTGCCTGGAGTCGCTGGTGGCGCGGCTTGTGGTGCCGTACGAGCGGGCGGGGCACACGGTCGACGTCTTCCTCACGATGTACCGCGAGTTGGGTGGGTCGCGCGCCGCGCTCCTCGATCCCTTTGGCGCGCGCGTTGCCGCGGTGACGACGGTGCTGCAGCGCTCGACGGCCACACAGCTGCTGCCGCTCGGCGCGGCGGTGCGCGCCTTCCTCAACTGGTGCCACGCGCACGCGACGAGCTATTCGGCGGTGGCGATCACGCGCTTCGACGTCTTCTACAAGGCCGACCTATACGCCATCCTCGGCGACGCCGCCGCTATCGACGGCTTCCGGCTGCTTTGGCGCGAAGCTGGCGGCCACTGGCGGCACCACTCGGACCCCGTCGCCTCGGAGCGCACCTTCCCGCTGAGCGCGCGCTCCGACTGGCGGCGGAGCAACGTGCGCGCGCCCGACGCCCTGATCGCCTTCCCGTACGCCTACACGCGCTGCTTCCTCGCCTCATCGCGCCACGAGTTCTTCCCCGTGCGCAACAAGAGCTGGCCGCTCGGATTCATGCACAACATGGTCTTCGGTCTGATGCGTGCGCTGCCCTTCTTCAGCGGCAAGGAGGGCGGCGGCGCAGCGCACCACCTACCCGCAACAGCGAGCACGCCGCCGCACGCCGCCGCCCTCGCCCGCTCCGCTGCCGCCGCCACGCCGCCCGCCGGGGCAGCGCCTCCTGCCAATGCGCCCATCCCGCCCGGATTGCGATGGCTCGTGCGCGGCCAGTTTGACTCCAACCCGTGCCGCTCGACGTGCATGCTCAACCCGGTGTACGATCTGCTCCCGCGCATGGAGTGGGTGCGTGCCTCGGGCATCTGCCAGTCGCCCTCCGACTTTGCCTACGATGAGGCCTCCGATTCGCTCTGCTGCCCCTCGCCTAACTATTGCTGCCCCAACTCGCTCGCGTCGTGCGCGCACCCCGACGCGGTGCTCTTCGACGCCATCTCCGCCAACGTCTCGCGCGACGCCATCGCGCAGCTCTGGCCGCTCACGCAGGGCCGGCCGCGACGATGGCTCATGACGCCACGCTCCATGCGCTATGTTGCGGGCGTGTGGCGGCAGGCCGCTGCCGACGCCGAGGGCGCTGCACGTGTGCGCACGCTCTCGCCCTTCCACGCACGCAGCCTGCGCGCACCGCCGAGGTTGCGCGAGGCCGCCGCCGTCCTCGAGCAGCAAGCCGCCGCGACGAGCGAAGGCGGCCCGTGCGCCGCCGGTGCGTCGGATCGGACGCCCTTTTGTCGCGGGTGAGGATCGGGCGACCTCCGATAGACCTGAGGTGAAGAGGCCTGGACCACAAGGCGTGGAGTCAAACAGATTTTATCCCCGGGTCGCGGAACCGGCGGTCCGCGGTCCCCGGGAGCGGTTCCGCTTCCGGGCGCGCCGGCGCCGGCGCGCCGCGGGCGCGGCGCGCCGCCACCGGGCGCGCGGCGGCGCGGAGCGGGCCCGCCTGCTGACTAGTCTGCTTATGTTCTCAGGTCAGTCAGTACACTGGCATGACCCAATTCCACGCGTCTCCCGACCCGGGCCGCTGCATGGCCAGCGGCCACGGCGTCTGCTGACCCAGCACACGCCGGCGCATCACTGCCGCGCTCGCCGCCGGGCCGCGCAGCTCTCCACACTCCAGCAGCCGCGCGCTGCCTAGACAGTAACACACGCGACCGCTGCTGATGGGCCCACACACGGCGCATTGCGGCCCGCCGTCGGTGGGGCACTCCCGTGGTCCCGAGGGCACGGTGCCTCTCATCCCGGCAGTCGCATGCGCGCAGCTCATGGGTCGGCCGACCGCAGCCCCCCCGCGCGCCCAACACTGCGAGCGGGGCGCGCTTCTAAAGTCAAAACACCAACACTGCAAGTGAGTGTCAGAGTGTCGGAACTCGGTGGGAGCATCCGTCATCATTCCCGTTCACACTCGCTCGAAAAAGTGAAATTTCGTTTCACATGAAATGTGAAGTGAAAGTGAAACCGATTCGCTGTGTTTCCATGTGAAATCACGTACCCTGGGCCTGATCCGATCGCAGTTCGCACCGTCCGCCGCGCCCCCTCCCCCCTGCCCCCTGCTCTCAAGTCTCGTGTGGCGCCACAGAGAGGAGGGAGTGTGACGCCGTGTGCCGGGCGAGCCTCTCCCCGCCCTCGAGTGCGAGGTGCGGCGAGCATGTGGCAGCCAAGATGTCGCTCTCGAGACCCCGACGACCTCGCCTCCGCCTCCGAGGCGGACAAGGGCGACGGCGTCGGCGGCGATGGCGGGAACGGCGTCACTTGTGACCTGTTCGAGCCGGACCCCACCCCCATGGAGGACCTCTGAGGTCCTCCCCAGTCTCACCCCACCTTACCTCTGCCCCCCCCTCCCCCCACCCCTCTGCCTCCCATAGGGCAGGATAGCACTAGCATATGCGCCTAGTGCGCACACTGGGCCCACATAGATGTGACCCGCCCACTCGAGTGCGGCGCCCGGATGCTCTTGCTTGAGAAGACACCACAAACGCGGCACGGCCCGTTTTGGCTGTCTGCGGAGATTTTGTCTTAGCACACACAGTGAGTCATTCGGAGTCATTCGATGGCCAGAGTGCGATTGTGTGTGTGCGGGAGTTTGTCGGGAGGGATCGAGAGCGCCACCCAAAAGGAGGCGGACAGCCATGGAGGTCACCGAATGGAGGGCGGCGAACGGCACGATACGAAAAGGCAGGGCGAGGCGGATGGAGAAAGAATTGCCGAGGAGGCCATGGTGGAGGGGAGGGACGGGAGGACGAAAGAAGGGCGAGGAGGACGAGCGGCCCGCACAGGCCGCGAGCAGACAGCGCCTGCTGGCCATTTCGAGACATTCGCAAAGAACGCTAGCTACATGGGAGGGCTTCGTGAAGGATGGATTGAAAACATTCGAACAAAGAAGAGGCGACGGGAGGAACCGGCAGAGGATGCAGTGACGTGACACACACACACACACACACACACACACACACACACACACACACACACACACACACACACACACACACACACACACACACACACACACACACACACACCGCTCACCCACGCGCACCGGGCCTTGCACTTTGAATGCCGTGGGGCTCCTGTCGTTAGACGTGGAGACGCGAGGGCGGTTGCCCCCCCTTGCCCCACCACCTCGTGTGTGTGGAGAAGTTTACCTTACCTTACCTTACCTTAGGTGTGTGTCATTGCTGGGTGCATGGGCAGTCCCTCGCCATCCACGGCGCCATCGCAGGCTACCACCTCCATGTCGTTGTTAGCACGCAGGCATCGGAAGTCTGCGGGTGTCACAGACTTGAGCGCGCGCCACACTGGATCGATGTCCCCGGGGTTGCCGTTCAGTTGGAGCGCGCGGATGGCGGGCAGCGCTCCACGCCGGCGGATGGCGGCCGCGAGCCGGCGCATGCCCGCGTCGCCGATGGCATTCCGCGCGACGGAGAGCCTCTGCAGGTTGAGCATCACGCCGCTCGCGACGACGCGTGCCAACTGCGCGGCGTCGTCATCCGTCCAGCCCAAGTCCTGGAAGATGAGCTCGCGCGCCTCGGCGAGCCGCGCAGTGAAGGCCTGCGCGTACAGCCTCTGCACGACGTGCAAGTCGGCCTTCTTGCTCGTGAACGACTTGCCGCGCAGCCGCCGCGCAAAGTCAGCGGGCAGCAACGGCGCTTGGCGGCCGGCTCTCAGCGCGCACGCAACGCGCAGCTCGTGGAAGGCCGAGTGGTCGCCGGAGGGGTACTGATGCTCCGCAGGGTGGAGCACGCCCAAGTCGAGCACCAAGCGAAAGTCCTTGAAATTGGCGATCGATGCCTCGAAAAAGCACTGGGACAGGGGAGGAGGGGAGTATAGGGGCGGGGGGGGGGCGGGCTGGCGCGTGGACCTTTAGTCAGGGGCGACCTCCCTCAGGGCAGCGCGTGGCGTGAGGTGCGCGCACCCAGCCTCGGTCCTGGTAGTCCGCCTTGTTGGGGCGCGAGCCACTTGCGAAGGTGTAGCCGAGGGGATAGTCCCCCGGCAGCTTGGTCAGCTTGAAGACAGGGGTGAACAAGTGGCTGTAGAGCTCCGAGAGGCTGTCAAGCGCCTTGGTGAAAAGAGCACGCTCAGCATCGGTCCGCCGGCCTTGGTTGTCCTTTTGATGGAGCGACATGAAATCGAGGAAGATGCCAAACGTGCCACCCCACTGCTCCAAGTACGCTGCCACTGCTTGTGCCAGAATCTTCAGGTTGCGGCCTAACGGGTCGCAGTGGTCCGGCTGCAACCATGGATGCGACACTACGAGAATGCGCAGGCAGTCGCCGTACGTCGACACCACCTGGTCCATCTGCTGCAGGTCACACAGGCTGAGGAACGCCTCGGCAGGCAGCTCCTGTCTACGGCGAAGCAGTGGTGCCTGCTGAAGCTGCTGAGGTGAGTACGACCAAGGTTCGCCAACGGGTGGTTCCATCCCTGGGATCAGCGCAGCGCGGGAAGGCGCTCGGTCGTGCATGACATAGCCCGCGCTCCTCAGAAGGTATCGTGCGTCCACAAGGCGCACGGGGCTGTGCTTCAGCTCCGGATCGACTTGCAGGAAAGGCTCGAGATTGCTTCCGCCGAGCCGCACCCACGAGGAGCTGGCCTTTTCCGCAGCCAGTGTGTCATGTTCATCGGCCTCGATGTGCGCAGGCCGCTCGTCGTCACTGGGCGCGAGGCCGCCGGGGCTCCCGAAGGCTGTACCCATTTGTTGGTATATGAGCGGCGTCTGCAGCAGGCCGCCTCGCCGCCCCTGGGCCAGACCGTTTTGAGTAACCGGGGGCCCGCCGGTGGCAGGTAAGGTAAGGTAAGGTAAACGTCTCCACACACACAAAGTGGTGGGGCAAGGGGGGGCGACCCTCGCATCTCCACGCCCGGGACACGGGCAGGAGCCCCACGGCATTCAAAGTGCAAGCACCGGCCCGGTGCCGTGGGTGAGCAACCTGCACCCCACTCCTACTCCTATAACACAACCCCCACAGCGTGGTCGTCTACGTGTTCAGAAACACCAAGCAGCGAGGCGAGGGTGAAGGGGTAAGGGGCTGTGTGGGGCTATCTGTGACCATCTAGCCTGGGGGGATATGTTTCCACCCAAGAAGCCCGTTTGGAGGGATGGGCGGCAGTGTGCGGGCGGTGAGTGCTAGTCCTCTCATCAATTTACAACGAAACGCCCCTCCCTCCCTTCCTCCCGGGGCGGCATCTGCGCGCACACGGCGGCTTGCTCAGAGCGTGAGGCGCACGCATACGGAGGCGCGGGCGTGCGCGGGGCGGGCGAGGTGACGGGAGTGTGGCGAAATGCATGCAGATCAAATGTTTACTCAACGCCGACCCTCTCCGCTCAGTGTGCAAGAATGGTGCGCACACTCCACACACGGGTACGAGAGCGGGGGGGGCAGTGGACAGGGTTCAGGGATGTGGGTGGCCGGACACGAGATGTAACACACACACACTCGCGCGGGAGGCCTAGGTGGCGTCCGCCGCGGCTGGCGGCGCGGGCGCGCAGCCGGGCAGGTGCAGCGCGTGCCCCAAGCTGCGTAGCAGCGCCGGCACCGGCCGTCGGATGACGCGCCACGCGAATAGGCTCGAGAAGAGCGCGGGGGCGACGCGCAGCGCGGGGCCGAGCCGGTTGAGCCCTCCTCCGCCGGGCAGCACCGCCGACCCCGCCGCGAGCGCGAACATCGCCAGGTCGGCCGCCAGCCCGCGCCACCGCTCCAGCCTCGACGACGCGTCTCGCAGCGCGAGCAACCTCTCGATCTCGTCGCGGCTCGCGCCAGCCTCGTCCCGGAGGCGGCGGCTGACGGCGCGCTCCTGCGCGAGGGCGGCGGCGTGCTGGTGCGCGAGCCGCCGCCGCGCCGCCTCCCCCTCCACCGCGATCCGAAGCTGCTCAGCGTACGGCTGCAGCCACGCGGCCGGGTCGTCTGCGTCCGCCACCGACGCGAGCCGGGCGAGGAACGCCTAGGCGGGCGAACGGGGACGTACGTCTCCCAAGTAGTCCATCTAATAAGACCTAGCAGCTTCGGCCGTTGATTTTCCTACTCTTTTGCTCCGGCGGGCGCCTTATAGGCGCCCTATAGGCGCCCTATAGGCGCCTACACGCGATTTTAGGCATCTAGAGGGCGCCTCGTAGGCAGCCTTGGTGGCGTTGCGGAGGAGGAGCTCGAGCGACGCGGCGGGCAGCGCGACCGCCAGCTGCCCGCGCATCTCCGTCAGCGGCGGCGCGACGCGCGAGAAGGCGCGCCGCCCCGAGGTGACTGCGGCGCTCGCCCACTCCTGCATCAGCGCGTAGACGGTGGCCGTGAGCGAGAGGCCTCGCGGCGCGCCGGCCTGCAGCTGCGCGACGAGGCCGTGGAGGGCGGCGGCGAGCAGCTCGCCCGAGAGCGGCGCCCCGCCCACCGCCTTTGGCTGCAGCAGGCCCAGCGCGCGCTGCGCCGACGCCGCGAAGGAGCCGGCAAAGGGTGAGTCTGCGTCCGGCAGACCAGACGCCGACGCGAGCTCTGCGAGGTCAACGGCGTCGGGCGCGCGGACGGCGGCGAGGGTGCGGTTGGGGAAGAGGGCCGCCAGCGCCGCCCGCGTCCCGTCGAGCGAGTCGGCGCGCGGCGCGAGCGCCTCGTGCAGGCTCGCCTCTGCCGGAGGCGCGCGCGGCCGGCCGGCGGCGGCGGCGGGCGGCGGCGGGCGCGGGCGAGCGTCACGGAGCAGCGCGAGGAGGTTGGGCCCGCCGCCGCCCGCGCCGAAGGCGTCGGGCGCGAGCGCGCCGCGCACGTGCGCCACCCCCTCCCGCAGCCGCTCCAGCGCCGCCTCGTTGAGCTCGCGCATGACGTTGAGCACGACAGTCGACGAGGCGAGCAGCGCGAGCGCGAGGCTGTCTTGCGCGGCGCGCGCGTCGGCGCGGTGGGCGGTCGAGTCGAGCCCGGCCGTGTCGATGAGCACGACCGACGCGCACTCCGTCCCCGGCAGCCGCGCCCCGCCCGGCGCAGAGAGGTGCCGCATCCAGAGTCCCTCGGTGCCCGCGCCAAGGACGTTGTGGTCGACGCCAAAATTGCCGGCCGACGAGGCGGTGGTGGCGGGCCAGCGATCGCGCAGGTGGTGGTAAAAGAGGTTGAGCCAGGTCGACTTGCCGTCGCGCGCCGGGCCCACCGCGCTCACCACGCAGAGCGGCGCGGGCAGCCGCGCGAGCGCGTGCAGAGCCGCCTCATTCAGCGCGAGCGTGCCGTTGGAGGGGTGGTGGCGCAGCAGCGGCAAGGGGGCGCCGTCGGGGCAGGCGTCCTGCGACACGGCCCACCCGCCCACGCCTGGCCCCGCCGACGCCGCCGCCGCGTCGACCCGCCTCTCTGTGCGCGGCAGCAGCGCGGCGGCAGCGCTCTCTGTGCGCGCGAGCAGCGCCGTCGAGCGCGCCTTGGGCGTGCGCGAGGCGAGGGAGGGGATGGAGGAGGCGAGCGGCAGGGTCGCCGCGAGGGCGAGCGCGTAGGCGAGCGCCCTGTGGGGCGGCATACGTTGGTGCGTATGGCGAGCGGCTGCCCCGCGACTTCCCAGGCCCGAGCTGTGTGGGTTGCGGGCGGGTGTGAACATTTGGGTCCCGAAATGTACTCTCGTCTTAGGTGTACTTTTTGTTTGTTGGCAAAACAAGACACAGAGCTCACACAGAATCACAGCGGGAGGAAAGCGGCGAGTCGCAATTCCTGGGGTCCTTGTGGCGGGCCACCCTGTCCAGAGAGGCATGTGGCATGAGTGCCAATCTGGGCGGTCTCTGGGCGGTCTCTCTTTCGCTACGTGTTTGGTCCCGTCGGCGGGCAGGCTGGGTCTGTCAGCAGGCGGGGGGGTATGGTCCGTCGAGGTGGGTTGCGCGACCGTACCATACCATACCCCGCAAAAAGTCCGAACCCTGTGGGGTCAGCCAGAAAAAACTCGTTGGCTCCCGCGCCGCGCTGAGGCAGAGTAGCCCATGCACAAGAGTATTTGATTCACAGCGGTCGTGGCCTCTCAGCAGGAGCAGCTCTATATGAGCGCTCCTAGGCCGCATCCGCCGCCACCCTGGCTGCAACCGCCCTGGCCATAGACCCGAACGACATCGGCAACGAGCATGCCGTGATCGACGTGCCGACGCAGGCCAACCGCTACTTCAACCAGGACGAGGAGCTGGCCAACTACCAGTAGGCAATGCTCGAGCCGCCGCGGTGTGCAGTCCGAGGAGGGGGGGGGGGGGGAGGCACGCGGAGCATCGGAGGACAAGGAGCTTGCCAGCGGTGAGCGAGCTCTGACGTGAGAGGCACGCCACCCATGCCAGCGCCGCAGGACCGGCGCTGGCCGTGGCGTGCGAATATTGTAATATGGCTAGTGCGTGTACCATCCGTACACGTGTGACGCGGGCCGACGGCTGTCTCTCGTACTGACGTATGCATCTACAGTGCACAGATCGGAGATGGCATCCCCCCCTCTCCGCGAAAAGGGTGTCTCCCTTAAACCCAAAAGTTTAGGCAAAAGCGAAACGGGCGCTGGGGCCGCGGCCGCTTTGAAAGGTTACCCTCATTTCAGTTTTCACATTTCACGCGCACACTCTCTCGACTTTACCCGGCCCCAGCGGAACCACGAGTCCTTGCGACAGCGGGCCCACCGCCGTCGTCAGAAAAAAGACGGAGTCACAGCAGCCGGCGCTGCAAGATCCCTCATCCGCCGCACGCACGCACGACACAGCTCTCCCATGCCCCGCTCCTCACGCGGCCACCGGCTGGGGCGTGCCCTTGTCGACGCCGCCGTCGTCCGTCCGGAAGGCCGGCCCGAAGCGGCCGGTGATGCCGGCGGCCTGTGCGCCGTCCGAGTTGTCAAAGAGGAGGACGTTGTTGATCGGCGCAACCTGCCGAGAGACAGCCGAGATCTAGCCGAGATCGACGTCGGCAAGGGGCTAGTCGCGAGATCTAGCCGAGAGCTAGCCGCGCGCTAGCCGAGAGCTAGCCGAGATGTAGCACATCCACAGCGTACGCCACTCTGAAGCCCGGCCGAGCTGCTCAAGAAATCGATTCATTGACAGGTCGCTAGCTCTCGGCTACACCTCGCGGCCTGCCCCTTGCCGGCGGCGATCTCGACCAGCTTAATCACCTCGGCCGCCACGGTGCCTCCGACGATGGCGCACATGGGCGAGAGCTCGGTGGCGGCGTGGCGCACCTATTCAGTGAAGGCATTGGCTGCGGCTCTCGGCTGCTCTCGGCTGCTCTCGGCTGCCTCTCGGCTGCTCTCGGCTGCCTCTCGGCTGCCTCTCGGCTGCCTCTCGGCCGCTCTCGGCCGCTCTCGGCCACCTCTCGGCCGCTCTCGGCCGCTCTCGGCTGCTCTCGGCTGCTCTCGGCTGCTCTCGGCGCCACGGTCGCGACGTACTCAGCGGTGAGTGGCTCCCGCAGAAAGGTCTCCTTGAGCCCGTCCTCCTCGAGCCGCTCCGCGCGCCGCGCCTCCACCTCCTCCTGCCCTCCGCCCCGCAGCAGCAGCTGCAGCGCAGCGTACAGCCGCGGGGTGCGCCTGTCCAGCGAGCGCCAGCCCACCCGGAACGCGTCGCGCAGCGCGGGGTAGCGGACCACAAAATGCTCCGGCGGCGGCGGCTCCTCGTCCTCCTTCTTCGCCTTTTTGACCACGCGGTGCGTGTGCGCCATCAGGTCGAGCGCGCAGAAGCCGAACAAACCAAGAGTGCCGGCGGCCAGCAGCTGCGGCATCGCCCCCGATCTCGTCGGCACAATCTCATGCGATCCGTTGCCCTTGGCTTCCGGCGCCTCGTCGCGCAGCCGCTTCTTGCCGTTGCCGTTGCCGTTGGGTGCCGCCGCCGGCTCACCGCCGGCGCCGCAGAGCCGGTCGGTGGCGGCGGCAAGGTCGTCCACGCCCTGAAGCCCGTGCGTGCCGACGACGATGTGGAACGAGCGGAGCTCCTGGTCGGTCAATGTGTATGGGACATGTGCATAGACACGCACATGCACATGTATGTGTATGGGATATGTGTGGGGCATGCGTATGGGACATGTGGATAGGCCTCCTGGTCGGTCAGCTGCTCGAGCGGCTTTGGGATGCCTTCGACCTCGACCGACGGGTTGAGCTCTTTGAGGCGCGACGCCATCGCCTCGGCCTGCGGACACGACGCAGCGGTGGAGATGAGGGGCGAAGGTGGGACGGGGATTACCGTCGCCTCGGCCTTGGGGTGGAGGGGCAAACGCGGTGAGCTCTGGTGGAGGGAACGGGAGCGGGAGAGAGAAAAGAGGCGGCTGGGAGAAGAAAAGAGAGACGGCGGTGCAGCGGGGCCTTGTTGCTGCCGAGGTTGTCCTTGCTCAGCGAGAAGACGCCGCCGTGCTCGAGGTCGGCCTGCGACACCGCGTCCGGGTCCGCAATCGAGACGTGCCCGATGCCTGCGCGCAGCGCAAGGCAAGGCTCGTTCACGACGCTCGGAGAATACGAGGGCCGGCGCAGGCGGTGCATGCCGCCGGTGGGCGCGGCGGACGAATGGGTCTGCGGCGGCGGGGGCGTGGCGGTGAGGGCGGGCGGGCACCGGCGAGGACGAGGTTCTTTGCAATCTCGTTGCAGAGGCCGGTAGCGCGGAGGAGGAGGAGGCGCGTGCCCTGGAGGCCGCGCTGGGTCTCGAGCCCCCACAGCCGGATCTGCCGGTCGTACCGCTTGGTGTCGATGTCCGAGGTTGGAGCGGGAGCCGGAGCAGCCATTGGGTCTACGATCGCTTCCCGCGCCGGGCGTGTTTTTTTGACGTTAGCAGTGTGCCGAGAGGGGGTGTCTTGTGAGCTTGTTTGTGTTGTGGTTCTGTGTGTCGCTCCTGTGTGACCGTCATCGCCCGTCTAGCGTCTGGGCGTGCGGTTGATATATGATAACTGCACTCTAAGTGCTCCAAGTACGAGACACTCCCTCGCACAACAAGGCTCAAGGGGCACGGGACTGGCGCGCACTGGCACTAACAAAAAGAATTAAATACTGTCTCACCAGGTCACCCCACGGATCGCGCACCTGTACCAATGAAAAGCCACTCCAAGCTCTCGTATCAGCAGATGGCGAGCACTGATGTCGCCGTGCCGCCTGCCACCGACCTGAGCTGAGTCGTCGTCAAATCGATGCCAGACCCGGAGAAATCCGCGCCATTGACATCGGCGCGACTGCCTCCCACACGTTCGTAGCTGGGTTGTACCTCTCGACCGAGCTGCAGGCGGAGAGCTGGCCAGCACACCCGCCCACAGCGTACAGCTTGCCTTCGAGCACCGCAAGTACGAGGCGTGCGCGCTGTATCGCCATCGGCGCCACCGCCTCCCACACATTTAGCGCGGGGTCAAACCGCTCGACCGAGCTGAGGCGGCCGCCGCCGGCGCCGTAGCCTCCAACAGCATACAGCTTGCCGTCGAGCACCGCCACGGCGTGCTCCATCCTCGCCGCCGCCATCGGCGCCACCGCTTCCCACACATCTGTCGCAGGATCGTACCGCTCCACCGATTCCAGCTCGCTGCTGGCTTCGTCGCCGCCACCAATGGCGTACAGCTTGCCGTCCAGCACCGCCACGCCGAAACCCATCCTCACCGCAGCCATCGGCGCCACCGCCTCCCACGCGTTTGTCGCCGGATCGTACCGCTCCACCGAGCAGGTCACGCCGTCGTCGTCATAGCTGATCTCGCCGCCCACAGCGTACAACTTGCCGTTGAGCACCGCCACGCCACAGAGGCTCCGAGTCGTCGACATCGGGGCCACCGCCTCCCACGCATTTGCAGCCAGGTCGTACCGCTCGACTGAGCTGAGGTGGTCGCCACCCACAGCCGCACAGCCGCCCACAGCGTACAGATTACCGTCGAGCATCGTCGTGCCGACAAGCCGTCGTGCCGTCGGCAACGGCGCCACAGCCTCCTCCTCCCACACATTGATTGAAGGGTCGTACCGCTCCATCGAGCTGAGGAAATTGTCACCGACAATCGTAGTGCCATAGCCGCCAATCACGAGCAGGCGCGGCCGCTCGCGCTTCACCAGCGTCTCCTTCCAGCCGCGGCGCCACGCGCGGCACGTCCCCTTGGCGGCGTGCTCCTTGATCGGCAGATGGGCGAGGATGTGCGGGGCGAGGTCCGGCGAGAGGAGGACCTCGGAGAGCACCCACTCGGGCTGCTCCACAAGCCGTGTGGCGTGCTCGTCCGCCACGCGCAGCGCGGCGTCGCTTACGCCCGCCTGCGCCTCGATGATGGCGCACAGCTGCTCTGGCGAGAGGCCCGCGACGCGGGCGCCGATGCGGTGGGAGGCCATATACACGTCCTTCAGCCTGACCGAGGGCTATTTCTGCGCAGCCCGATTTTTTTACTTTTTCACTCTCCGATGCGAGCTGGCCGGCGGAGGAATACACGCATATGCTCTGAGGTCACAGTATGGGTTCGGCACCTGTTCACAGCAGTGTGAAGGTAGGGGATGGAAAAAAGAAACCGCGGAGTGCCAGTATGGATTTCTTTTTCGGCGGCCAATCCAGGCTGGATTTCTTCTTCGCGGCGAGGTAGGGGATGGAAAAAGAAAAAGGGGCGAGGTGCAATTGAGAGTGCGCCCACTGAGATTCCCTTGATTGCGTGGGATTGCGTGTGATTGCGAGCAATGCAGGACCTCAGCTCGGGAGCATGGATTGCATGCAAGCAAATTGCAGGCCCTCCCATACTCAACTAGATTTCTTTTTTCCACTCTGCTAGTTGCAGACTGCGACTAACAGGTTTATCCGGGCCGCCTCCCGCACTGCTGCATGCCGCCCCCCTCCCGCCCCCCGCCTCTCCGCGGCGCGGGGAGCCACGCGCTCCGGGCCGGGCCATGCCGCCACCCCTCCCCCGCGGGCCCCGCGCCGCGCCGTTCCATCGAGCACCACTGACTCGACTGCGCTGCCGCCGCAGGATGGCGCGCAAGAAGCACGTGCACGCGATGCGCAAGCTCCACATGGATGGCTTCCCGGAGTTCGAGCGGGACGGCCCGGTCCAAAAGCGCACTCGCAAGGGAGGGTTTGAGACCGCCGAGCGCAACAACATGGAGGCCGCCTTGGCCGCCTCGGCAGCGGCGGAAACGCTCAAGGAGCTGGCCTCGCCCCCCCGCCGGCCGGTGATCCTCGAGGGGGAGCCAGTGCCCCTCGTCCTCCCGCCCCCCGTCCGCCGCATCGAGGCGCCGCGCGCCGCCCCGTGCCCCGCGCCCCGCGCTGTCTCATGCGCCGCCGCATGCGCTGTTGACAGGCACCAGCGTTCGACCCCCTCGAGTGGGTCTCGCTCAAGGAGTTCGGGGGGTTCACCCGCGGCGCCAATCTCCGGGCCGAGCGCATGGAGGAGGAGGCCGGCAAGCAGTGGCAGTTCATCGGCAAGCACTCGGACATCCTCAAGAACCTGGCCGAGGGGCAGAAGCGCTTTGCCGACTACGAGAAGCAGCAGGCCGCCCGGGTCCTCGCGCTCACCCTCAAGAAGCAGGAGCTCGAGACCGCGGTGGACAAGGCAGAGGCCCGCCTCGCAAAGCTCGAGGGCGGCCTCCTGTCGCTCCAGCAAGCCGTCTTTCCCCTCCGCCCCGGCGCTCGCCGCGGTCGCCCTGCTCCCGTCCGTCTCCCACCGGCCCGAGCCGGCCAGCAGCACCGCCGCCGTCGGCCGGCGTGCAGCGCTCGGTGTCTCAGTCGCAGCAGCCGCGGCGGCGGCGCCTTCCCGCGCCGCAGCGGAGGGCCTCTTCTATTCGGACGGATACACGTCTGCTGCGGGCGGTTGGACGGCGCACGAGGGCCCGTTCGACGCCAGCTACTTCAGAGACTTCCAGGACTCGAAGACCGCGCCCGGGTTCAAGTACAAGTTTTTGCGAGAAGGCGGAGGCGAGAAGCCGCAGCCGTTCCAAAAGGTGTTTGTGCACTACACCGGCTACCTCACCGACGGCATGGGTCAGCACGGGGCTGTCGCGCCGGCGTCGCGCCGGCCGTCGCCTGGGCTGCGCTGCGCGTGCGCACGCGATTTCGTCTTCGTCCCGGACGGCAAAGGGCCCGAACCCAGCCGTACCAGCGCGGCCTGTCGCTGCGGGCCCAACATTGCCCTAACCTGCAGGCCCAATGCCCAAGAAGAAGCCGCAGCTGCCGCTCTGCACGTACGGCGCCGCCTGCACCAGACCCGGCTGCATCTACCGCCACCCTCCCAAGGGCGCCGTGCGGAAGAGCGAGATCGTCTGCAAGCCATTCCTGTCGGGATTGTGCGAGTTCAGGTCAAGGTGCCAGAACATCCATCCCGGGCCCGAAGAGGCGGACAAGCTGCGCCGCAACAGCGCCGCAAGTACGCGCGGAGAGCGTGCGAGTGGGGGAGCGCCTGTAAAACCCGCGGCTGCCTATACCGCCATCCGGCGCCAGTCGACACTATTGCAGGAACGCTCGCGGCGGCCAGCCTCGGCGGCGGTGCCAAGCACGCAGCAGCAGCCGCGCCGGTCGGCGGCGAGCTGGCGGCGCCGGCGAGCGGGCAGAGGCGGATGCCGCTGCTCGCGGGCGGTGTGTGGCAGGAGGACCTGTTGGCTCTACTACGATGGCTCTACTACGATCGCTTCCCGCGTTTTTTTTAGGAGGGAGGGGGTGATGACGGGGGGTCGTCTCGTTCAACCATTTCGGGGGCCTCAACCAACAAAGAGCCGGAACCCTCCATGGTCTCGGGCGAGGCGGCGGCGGGAGCGAACGCCGCGGCCTCTTCCAGCTTACTGGGCAGCATTCCCGCAGAGGCGGCGAATGCGGCTGCGGAAGGGGACGAGGCGGCGCTGCTGTCGTGGATTGACAGCGGCGGGCAGGTCAACGCGACTTGCGTGGCGGGCAATTTGAGCGGCATCACCGCGCTGATGTTCGCCGCCGGCCAAGGCCACGAGCGGGTGGTCGAGCTGCTGCTTCAGCGCGGCGTGGAGATCAACTTGCAGAGGAGCGACGGCTGGACCGCGCTGATGCTCGCCGCCCAGCATGGCCACGAGCGGGTGGTCGAGCTACTGCTGCAGCGCGGTGCTGAGGTCAACAAGCAGAGCAGCAAAGGCGGCACCGCGCTGATGGGCGCCGCCATCGACGGCCACCCCGCCGTCGTGCTTCGCCTGCTGCGGGCGGGCGCGGATACGAAGCTGCGCGCACTGAACGGCAAGTCCGCGCTACAGTTTGCCAAAGAGAAGGGCCACGCCGCGTGCGTCGAGGCCTTCCGGCAGCACATCGCGGAGGTGGCCACGGCGGGGCGGCGCGAGGCGGCGGCGGGCGGCGCGGGCGGCGCTTCCTCGGGCGAAGCGGCCTCTTCCGGCTCAGTGGGCAGCCTTACCGCAGAGGCGGCTAACGCGGCTGCGGAAGGCGACGAGGCGGCGCTGCTGTCGTGGCTTGACAGCGGCGGGCGGGTCAACGCGACTGGCGGCGTAGGCAATGTGAGCGGCATCACCGCGCTGATGTGCGCCGCCCAGGAGGGCCACGAGCGGGTCCTCGAGCTGCTGCTCCGGCGCGGCGCGGAGATCAACCAGCAGGACAGCAACGGCGACACCGCGCTGATATCCGCCGCCCGCCGAGGCCACGAGCGGGTGGTCGAGCTGCTGTTGCGGCACGACGCGGAGGTCAACGTGCAGGGCGGCAACGGCGGCACAGCGCTGATGAACGCCGCCCAGAAAGGCCACGAGCGGGTGGTCGAGTTGCTGCTGCAGCGCGGCGCGGAAATCAACAAGCAGGACAGCAAAGGCGGCACCGCGCTGATTGCCGCCGCCCAGAAGGGCCACGAGCGGGTGGTCGAGCTGCTGCTGCGGCACGGCGCGGAGGTGAACTTGCAGGATAGCGACGGCGACACCGCGCTGATGTTCGCCGCCGCCAACGGCCGCGAGCGGGTGATCGAGTTGCTGCTGGAGCGCGGCGCGGAGATCAACATGCAGAACAGCGGCGGCGGCACCGCGCTGATGGACGCCGCCTACAACAACCACCCCGCCGTCGTGCTCTGCCTGCTGCGGGCGGGCGCAGACGCGGCGGCGCGCACCAATAAGACGGCGCTGCAGTGGGCGAAGGAGAATGGCCACGCCGAGTGCGTGCGCGCCTTCGAGGAGCATGCGGCGGCGGCGAGGGCGGCGGAGGCGGTGGCGAGGGAGGCGGAGAGAGCGGCGGCAGAGGCGGAGGCGACGCGGCATGCCGAGGCGCTGCTGGCGGGGGAGGAGGCGGAGAAGGAGGCGGGGGAGCGCGCCAGGGAGAGCAAGAAGGGGAAGAAGAAGAAGAAGAAGAAGGGCGGCGGGGGCGGCGGGGGCGGCGCTGGGACGTCGCCCGAGGAGCCCGAGGATGAGGCAGCGCTGGCGGCGAGAGAGGATGCGGAGTTGGCGGCGGCGCTCGAGGAGAGCGCGAGGCTGGAGGTCGGGGCGACGCGTGCGGCGGGGGATCAGGCGCGATTCGCCGAGGGCGCTTCGTCACCGGCGGCGGAGGCGCCGCCTGAGGGAGAGGAGGAGCCGCCGGACGACTTTATCTGCCCAATCACGACCGAGATCATGAGCGACCCGGTGATGGCGGCGGACGGGCATGCTTACGAGCGGACGGCGATCGAGCGCTGGCTCGCGACCAAGTCGACGAGCCCTCTGACGGGCGGCGCGCTCGAGCACCCATACCTCACACCCAACCACATGCTGCGCCGTCAGATCCGGGACTGGGAGGGGGCGCGCAAGGCAGTTTGACCGTGCATCCACCCTAGTTCACGCGAGGGTAAGCACCGGTTGAGGCTTCAGAGTACACCCCCCCTTGCCCCACCACCTCGTGTGTGTGGAGAAGTTTACCTTACCTTACCTTACCTTACCCTTCAGAGTACAAACCGCTGTCGCGCCGGCCGTCGCCTTGGGCAAACGCGATTTCTTATCTTCAGAGAGGCTTGTGTCTTAAGAATTCTTATCTTATTCCCGGACGGCAATGGCCCAAGAAGAAGCCGCAGCTGCCGCTCTGCACGTACGGCGCCGCCTGCCCAGGAGCTGCGCCGCAAGTACGCGCTGATAGCGTGCGAGTGGGGGAGCGCCTGTAAAACCCGCGGCTGCCTATACCGCCATCCGGCGCCAGTCGACACTATTGCAGGAACGCTCGCGGCGGCCAGCCTCGGCGGCGGTGCCAAGCACGCAGCAGCAGCCGCGCCGGTCGGCCGCGAGCTGGCGGCGCCGGCGAGCGGGCAGAGGCGGATGCCGCTGCTCGCGGGCGGTGTGTGGCAGGAGGACCTGTTGGAGACGGAGGAGCCGCAGGACGCGCCGTCAGTGAGGCCGCCGCAGAAGCAAGGGACGCCGGAGACGCGCCGAGGCGCCGCCTCGGCCGAGGAGCGTCCCTTTTCCTCGCCTCCACTCCGCGCGCCGAAGCGGCCCCCACGGGTCCTCTCTGTCCAAGGCGGGGCCGGGATCGCCGCCCTCTCCGCTGCGCTCGACGAGGCGGTGTCTCGGGGAGAGCCTGTTGCGTTCGACTGCGAGTGGCGGCCGCGCAACCGCCACGAGAACCCTTCCGACGACGACGGCTCGCTGCAGCTGCTGCAGCTCGCCACGCGGCGCGAGGCTTTTGTCGTCGACGTCGCCGCCTTCGCCTCGCCCGGCGCCGAGGAGAGCCGCTCGGAGCTGCGGCGCTGCCTCCTCCGCCTGCTCCGCGCCGAGGAAAGCGAGAAGCTCGGTTTCGCCTCCGGCGAGGACCTTCGCCGGCTCGAGACCTCGCTGCCGGGCGTCACCGAAGGCGCCGCGAACATGCGCGACTTGCAGCGCGCCGCGACGAGGGCGGTCGGCTCGCCGCGCCGGACGGTGGTTGGGTTGGCCGGCGCATGCGAGGCGCTGCTGCGAGCGAGTCTTGACAAGTCGCGCCAGAGCTCCGACTGGGCCGCGAGGCCGCTGTCGGCGGAGCAGCTCGAGTACGCGGCGCTCGACGCGTTCGTGCTGCTCGAGCTGGAGGAGGAGCTCAGCCGGCTGGCGCTGCTCCCTCCGAGCCCGCCGCGCGGCGACGCGGCGGAGGAGGCGGCAGAGGTGGCAGAGGCGGCGGGAGAGGAGGCGGCCGGGGCGGACCCGCCGCCGGCGCAGCCACTCGACCTGCTGCTCTGCGCCGAGTGCGCGAGCGACTCGGCCGCCGGCGCCATCGACCCCGACGATGGCCTCTTCTACTGCGACGCTTGCTGGCGCGCCTTTGAGGCGGAGGCCGTGCCACAGGCCGTGCCACAGGCCGCGCCGTCACCGCCGCGCGGGGAGGGTGCCGCGGTGGCGGCGGCGGGCTCCTGGGCGGGGCGCGTCGGCGCGGCGGCGAGCGCGCTGCCGTCCGAGCCGGCGTCGCGGCTCCCTCCTCCTCCTCCACGGCTTGCACCGCCGAGGGTGGTCCGCTCCTCGAGGGAGGTTCGGATCCCCGCCGAGTCGTGGGTGGACTTGGCGGCGCGCGCCGGCGCCAGCGCCTTTGCGATCGCAGACCCGATGGAGCGCTTCGCCGCCGTGAACCGCTGCCACCGCAGGCCGGACGGCAGCGTCTGGCCGCTCACGCTGCTGTTTGAGGACGAGGCTGGCGGCGGAGGGGCAGGAGGGGGGCTGGTGGACCTGCACTTCCAGTCGCGAAGCACGGTGTCGGCGGTGCTGGAGGAGGTGCTTCCTCCGATGCTCTCCCACCACGCCGAGGTTTGGGTCGTGACGGGCAGCGGCCACCACGTCGCGCATCGCTCGCACCAAAAGCAGGGCGGGGTGCTGTGGGCCGCCGTGGACGCGCACCTCGGAGAGGCGCTGCCCGGCCTGAGCGAGGTGGACAGGCGCTGCTGGTACAGCTACCACCCGGCCAAGGACCACAACGGCTACCACTGCGCCTTCCTCGTCCGAAGAAGGCGGCGGTGAACCTCTCGTGAGCGTGTGTCCAGCTGATGCGGTTTTCGTGTTCACATCGGATCTGTGTGCGCATGACGTTGTAGTCGTAAGTCGATGTTAATACGATGTCTCTCGAGTCTGACCTGCAGCTCGGGGTAAGCTCGCAAAGGGAGCACTAAAAGAACACAAACAAACAACAACTAAAAGAAAGAAAACAGACAACCCACAAGGGAGGGGGATGGGAGGACGGCACGCCGCCACCACACAGGGATTTTAAGGAGAGGAGTGTGGTGCTAGCCGTCGCCCACCCTTGGGAGTGTGCCTCTTCTGATCTCTCTTCAACGACTACTAGTGAGCGGAAAATCTTTCAAGTGCCGGAGCCTCCGGTCTGTCCGTCTTGGGGGCACTCGCTGTGTACAGCGTTTGGCAAGAACCTGCGCCGATGTCCAGATGAGGATTCCTAAATCGTTCAAGTCCATGGTGTCGGCGGCCGACGCACCGGCGGCCGACGCCGCACGCCCGTCCGTCGCCGTGCTGCTGGCCGGGCAGATCCGCAGCCTGGCGGAACCGCCCGTGCGCCGTGAGCTGCTACTCAACGTGGTCCGGCCGACTGGTGCGAGTGTGCTCGCGCACCTGAGCCCAGAGCACGAGTACAGCGCGTGGCACAATTTCAGCGTGGGCAGTGTTGCGCGGGACGTTACGGATGACGCCAGAACCGAGGCTCTTGCGGCCGCCCTCCGTCACGACCTCCGTCCGGTCTACCTGTGCATCGAGCCCGACGAGGTCGTGCGCAATCATCCACGCTGGCGGGGTGCCTTGTTGCACCGTCCACAACGCTGGTCAGTGCTCTTCTTTCGTTGGCTGCTCCTGCACGGTGCGCTCCAAGCGGAGGAGCGGCGGCGTGGAGCCGCCTACACGCTTGTCTTCAGGCTGCGGCCCGACCTATTGCTGACGTGCACGCTGCCCGAGCCTACCGATGTGCTAAACTGGATGGGTGCCTACTCGGCGCTTCAGCACGGCGACGCGGCGCTGCTCATGAGGCGGGATGCGGCGGACGTCGCGCTTCGAATCTACCTGCACGCCAACGCCACCGCGCCGTGCGCCGTCGCGGTCGAGATTTGCGTGCCCGGGTTGCTCGCGCTGCGCGGCCACACCGTTGCCAGCATGAAGCTCAACACGGTGGCCTTGGTACGGCCCGAGGCCTTTTGCGGCCGGCCGTCGAGCGCGCGGCTGCCCGAGTGGCTCAGCTGCGGGCGGAGCTCCCTCAGCCAGGGCCCACCGACGACGAGGCCGCGCTGCACCGCGACGGCGGCGAGGAGTGCCACCCAGGCCTGGAATTTGACGGCGCACGTCCAGCATTGGCGGGAGCGGCATTTCGTTGCACGAGCGAGAAAGAACGTAAGCGTTGGCGCAACTGGCGTTGGTCGAAACTCGAGCTGATCCATCTGCTACGGGAAGGTTTTCCGGATACATCACAAAGATGTCATCCTGGTCCGGGAGCGCCCGGTCGAGCGCAGCGAGAATTTCGCCTCTCGGAAGCGCCGGCATGGATTCTCCTCCATGGATCCGCCGTTGTCGAGAACGTGCAGCAGATCTTGCATTGCTGATGTCCTCAAGCTCTCCCCTGCCCACGCACGAAGTCGGCAACCGCCTCCCAGTCCATCTCGCCAGTTACGGGATCTGGAAATGTGTCGCCAGCCGGAGCGGACCGAGGGCGGCTCTCAGGCAGGACGCAGGCGGCTGCGGCCCTTGAGATCTCAAGGCTGTGGCCCTCGCCGTCGGGCGGCACCGATATGTGCAACGCCGTGTCCTCTGGCAGCTTGTGCTGTGACGAGGGCCGCAGCCTGATCTCAAGCCTCCTGCCACTTGACGCTAGCATTGAAGGCGCAGGTGCCCCGTGTTTATTTTTGCCTTTCTTCGAGCTCATCGCGCTTGCCACCCACGCGCGGCACGTACAGAGGATTAAAGAATTCTGGGCAAAGACTGGTGCGCACTGGCAATAACACAGGATTTAATTAACGAAAAGGCAGCCACAGCGCACAGGCTCGCAGCGAGATTTTGCACTTGGAGCACTTGGAGTGCAGTCATCAACCGTACATCCAGGGCCGGGGAGCTCAGAAGCGCACCCAGCGGGCCGGATGATTGGCATCGGGTTGCGGGCAAGAGAGCCCTAGCCCCGGGGGTGCGCGTTCGCAGGGGAAGGGCCTGACAATCTGTTTTCTTTTCTTGTAAAAGTCCACATAAACCGCCGCGCGGCTCGCGCCGCTCGCGCCGCATCGCCGCCGCCTCCACCGCCGCACCCTCGCAAGACACGCCGCCGCCCAACTGCCTCCTCGACCTCCCCACGGACCTCCTCGTGCGCGTCGTCTCTCGCTGCGACCCCATCGACATCGCTCACATGTCTGCCTCCACTGCCGCTCCCTCGCCAAGCACGCCGCCGCCCTATCGCCTCCTCGCTCTCCCCACGGAGCTCATCGTGCGCGCCCTCTCTCGCTGCGACCCCGCCGACATCGCTCGCGTCGCGGCCGTCTCGCTGCTCTTCTACGCCTCGCTCGCGCTGGAGGGCATCCGCTTGCGCCTGCAAGAGGCCGGCTACGAGCCGCCGGCGCAGCCGGAGGACGAGGGCTGCGCCGTGCGGTGGCTGTGCTTCTATGCCTTGCTGCGCGAGTCCAACCCGCCGGCGAGGGCGGCGGCGGGCCTTTGGCACAGCGTCTTCATCGATGGCGAGGGGCGGCTCTCGTCGTGCGGCTCGGCAGCGGAGGGCCAGGAGGAGGAGGACGAGAGTAGCGAGGAGGAGTTTCCAGGCCTTCTCGGCCACGGCGAGGGCGTGCTGCAGCTTAAGACGCCGACCCGTCTCCCTTCGCTCGGAGGCGAGCGTGCGA